TACGGTGGAGATTGGCGGGCGAACGATGCCTGCCACTATCGATACCTGAGCCACTCGCAGCTTCATGAGTGAAGATTGCGTACGCAAGTGGGCGGTTCCGGGAAGAGCGGAGGACGTGCAGACGAGCATTCGTCTGACAGATGGGTCTACGCTCGAAAAAGGGAAGGCATTGTGGTTGGACGTCGGCCTAGCGGGGAAGGTGATCGGCATGTCGATGCTCATCATGCCCTAAATGTTAGACCACGTTATCCTGGGAATGGATTTCTTGGGTGCAATGGGCACTACAATACGCTGCGGCAAGGCAGAGCTAGAGACGGTGACGGCACCGGTCGTGCGGCCCGGGACAAGGGAAAAGACGAAAGACCTGCTCGGCAGCAGAATGGAGAAAATACGCTAAGAGAACCGAAGGAAGGCCTCCCAGGTCGTGCAAGAGGAGCACCTGCTCGGCAACAGAGAGAGGATACCAAGAGGGAACTGAAGGAAGGCCTTCCAGTTCATGGAAAGGGAGCACCTGCTCGGCAACCGATGGAAAAAGACATGAAGAAGGAGGTGAAGAGCCCAACAGGCGGCGCGTAGAGCTGCAAAGGCAGATCTACGCTGGTTATGGAGGCGGCACGGCGGGAATGTGCCAGGGAATTAGGAGCAATGGGATTAGGAGCAATGGCTAGAATCCACACGGACACAGGGGGTCAGGAGCGACTGCCAGAGTCGAGAGATCGTGTATAGTGACTCAGCTACAGCCGCTCACAGCGCTCTTAAAGAAGGGGCGGAAATGGGCATGGGATCAAGAACAGCAGGAGTCGACTGCCCCTGTGTTGGCTTGTCCAGACTTTTCCGCCAAATTCATCTTGCAGACTGACGCGAGTGTGTATGGCCTCGGCGCGGTGCTGACGCAGACGATAGAGGGACAGGAGCGGGTGATAGCGTACGCGAGCCAGAAGTTGCTGAAAGCTGAGGTAAACTATTCCGCCACCGAGAAAGAGTGCCTGGCAATTGTATGGTCAATCCGGAAGTTGCGTTGCTACCTAGAGGGGTACCGGTTCGACGTGATAACAGACCATCTGGCGCTCAAGTGGCTCAATTCAATTGAGAGCCCATCAGGAAGGATCGGGCGATGGGCACTAGAACTGCAACAGTTCCAATTTAACGTCCACAACCGTCGAGGGAAGCTCAACGTCGTGGCCGATGCACTATCAAGGCATCCTCTAGAGACCTGTCAGCAAGCAGTGGTGCCGAGGCCCCCTGCAAATGGGTCGCGAGTATGCGTGCTAGAATTGCCGATGAACCAGCCAAGTTCCCGGACTACATAGAAGAGAATGGGCAGCTATATAAGCATTTGGCCCACCGGACGGACGATGAGGACTACATTCCCTGGAAGCTATGTGTGGCTAGTGGTCAGCGACAGAGGGTACTGCAAGAATGTCATTATGCTCCCACGGCCGGACATCAAGGCGTTAGGAAAACCGTGTCGAGACTGGCTCAGAGATATTACTGGCCAGGTATGTTTTGGCGGCGTCGCGGAACATGTGTGCTGAAGTGCTGTGAAATCTGCCAGAAGTTCAAGAGCGAGCAACTCAAACCGGCTGGACGTATACTGACGAGGCAGGTAGCAGAGCTGATGGCAGTACTTTGCGCGGATTTCGTCGGACCCCTCCCACGGTCGAGACATAGCAACACCATGCTACTAGTGTTTCATGATGCTTTCTCGAAGTGGGTGGAACTGGTCCCACTCCGGAGGGCTACTGCAGCACACTTGCAGACAGCGTTCCGAGAGAGGATTTTGAGTAGGTTCGGGGTACCTAGGAAGCTCGTGTGCGAGGTCCAGTAGACCGCCCCGTACTGTGCCCAAGAGAATCCCACTGAGAGGACCAACCGGACCGTAATGACCATGATAACGCAATTTATTGAGGGCGATCACAGTTCATGGGACGAGCTTTTGCCTGAGATATCGCCAGCGGTCAACACAAGCGTGGCAGACTCAACAGGATTCAGTCCCGCTTTGATGATTCTGATGCAGGGTAGGGAACCGCAGTTGCCCGCAGCCCTGTACGATCAGGTGACTCCGGGGTCCGCAACTAAAGCGCTCAACACTAGGACGAAGGCGGATAGGCCAAAAGAAATTTTTGATATCGTCGACAGCAATCTCCAGCGCGCATCAAAGGACCAGGGCAGGCACTACAACCTGCGAAGACGAAGACTCGATGGTGCTGTTACGGCAACACCAACTATCCAACGCCGCTGAGGGCTTCGCCGTGAAACTGGCACCCAAATTTGATGGCCCCTACCTGGTCGTCAAGTTCATGTCTCCCAACATCGGACCCTTGGCAAAACCAGGCGAACAGAAGAGGAGGGTGGCCAACATTTCTCAGCTGAAGCCATTCCACCTAGAGATGACCGAAGACCGAGAGGTACCAGACCCGCTGAACGTGGAAGAGGAGCACGCGCAGAAGAATAAGAATAGAAAGTAGATTCCATAGATTGTGAGCTGCACTGCTAGGCCAGGGAAAAGCATAAGCAACGGATAAGTAATAAGTTAGTTGAGGAACCAAGTCGTCGCCATAAATGCCGCCGGGGAAGCGACGGTATCGTCGTCGAAGTAAGGGGGGTGTGAGGCGGCCACTAAAGCAGCCACCCCACAGTTCATAATTATAGTTATAGTATATAAGCATTGTATTAGTTATAAGTATAGTTAAGGGCAAGGAGCCCCTCATAAGTTATGTGTGAATTTACCCGCCGGCCGCCGCAGCACCCATGCGTTACCGATCAGTTGCTCAACACCGTCTCGAGAGCGCAGCTTCAATTCGGCGGCGAAGAGCGAAAGCTCCGAGGCGAAGTTGCGACAGCTCGCGGCGAAGTTGAGCGGCCGAGGCAAGCGCACGGCTCGCCTGCGAGCGTGCCGGCACTTTTCGAGCGACTATCGGTATGAGAAACGTGCATCGCGAGTGAACAACGCAGAGTGTATAGCGGAGCGCTAGGGCTCCAAGCAGTGCGGCAGGGCCCTAAGTTTAGGAAATATAGTAGGATAGTATTAAATTAATAAGTGAATAAAAGTGCATACATTGTGATTAATGAAGGAAATTTGCTAATTCTTTTATTCTCCAATAGCCCTATTTGTTCTAACATCGGGAATAGCCGATGTTCACCCTAACCTAAAGTGGGAACCAGTGGTGCGAGACTATGGCCCAGGAGTGGGTATTACGAGTTAGCTGTCTGGTAGTGTAGTAGGTACCAGGCCACGACCCGATAGTGTTCTTGGTACGAGGCCACGGCCCGATAGTGTAGCTGGTGTGAGGCCACGGCCCGATAGTATAGTTGGTGCGAGGCCCCGGCCCGAGGGTATAGTTGGTACGAGGCCACGTCCCGATAGTGTAGGTGGTGCATAAGTAGAGCGAGGTATGGTTTGGTCGAAACATTCACTTCCCCTCCCCCTTAAACGCTCTTTCCCAGCGAATTTATAAATGTCTTGTAACTCGCTGGACCTGGTAAGACTGAGAGTCGCACCCCGGCCAGTAGCTTCTTTACACTAGTTTGAGAAACTTATAGCTGTTTGGGCCATGGTATTGTCAATTGATGGGGTATTTACTTAAGTTTCTGATGGTTTAGTATGAGCTGGCATTGATAGTAATTTCTCGTCGAATGACGCGGATGTGTTGAGTGAATTTGGTAGAAATATTGTTATTTTATGCCTATCCGAAATTCGTTTAATGTTTTCTCTTAAAGCGCTTAATGCATCAACTGTCTGTGTTAAATGCAAATCTTTTAATATTGTTGCATTGTCACATATAAGTTGACGGCTGATATTGTAGGAATCGGTGCACTTTTGTTAAGGCACTTGAAAGATTTATCAAACTCGGCACGTTCTTCTCTAAGAATGGTAACAATTTGCGTCCATTAAATAGGGTGTTCTAATTGATGTGTGTTTTTTTGAATGCTACAAAATCTAAAGTTCTACCCAATATTGGCTTTTCTTTACTTACTGATCTCACTGGTACCAGGAATAGTACTTAATACTATTCTTTTATGCGTTTTTGAGCTATGTATCAGAGGTGAGTGTTCGAGATTGAAAGTATCCATACATAGAAACATAAGTTTGTATATACTTATTGAAGTTGCAGTTACTAATTGCTGAACTCTCTGCCTAAAATGTGGGTATCGTAAATAAACTTCAGGTATCGCTTTGTTCGTAGCCATTGAGTTTATTTAAGAGAGATCAAAAGTAAAAAGGAAATAATCGTTTTTTTTTTATTTTATATTTTATCTAAGTCCTTTGCTCGACTCATATATTTTTTCTTTAGGCACCTATTGTGCACATTATTCAATTTGAAAAAAAAGCTAAGACACATTAGCACTACCATAACTATAAGTAACATTGTTATTACTTTTAAGTCTGGTGTTTCCACCTCTACTTTATTAATTACATTGGCGGTGGAATCCACCGTCTTTGTGTCTATGAGGCCCATTTTGGCCCAAGGGAACTTATGTGTTAAAGTTAGTAATGTCTCTGTTTTGGATGACAATGTGTTTACTTATATAAATTACAATTTCCTGGCTTATTTTTTCGTATAACTTTACAGGCTATACTGCTTGTGTAGTTGCAAGCTTTTTTGCAACTAAATAATTCTAACTGCTTGTGTGCAGCGAAATTCAAAACTTATGTATATTTGTTTTCGAATATATTTATTGCCGCGCAGGGCACTTAGTAGAGATTATGTTTTTATATTGTTGCTTGGCAGCCAACTCGAATTAGTTGTGCCTAGGTTGCGATCAAACGAAAAACTAAAAACTATGACAATATGTAAAGCGAACGAAACGAAACTCCAATAAGACGCTTGCCGGTTAGAGCGAAGGGCAGCGGGAGTCAATGCAAAGCAAAGCAATGCATAAAGAGAGTGGGCAGCAGCTTACAAAGAGCGCGCGAAAACTATTTGCTCTTAGGCTGTAATTATGATTGTTATTTTCTGCTTGGATGATGTCCGCAGCCGTCGGTGTTGTCTCTGCTGTTACTTGACCAAACATTCTCCCCCCGTTGGAAGGCAAAGGCTTTCAACATCATCCTGTTTGGGCAGCAAACACAGCTTTCGTACAGCTCTACGTATGACCCCAGTCGCAGTTTGAAGCATAGCAACTCTGGATACCCCATTAGATCCAGAGATCAGCTCTTGCACTCTAGCTAGTGGCCACTTCAGCGGCGGTAGATTCTCATCCTTTACAAGGACAACATCGTTAATGGAGAGTCCAGGCTGAGGAGTGCGCCATTTGGAGCGCTGTTGAAGAAGCGTCAAATATTCTTCGCGCCAACGGGCCCAGAATTTTTGTTGGAGATATGTGACGCGCTGAAAATAATTAAGCCGATTGAAGTTAAGCTGCCTTAGATCGGGCTCAATGTATGATGAATTTGGCGCTGTACCCAGGAAGTGTGCGGGTGTCAAGACGTCAAGATCACCTGGATGCTCTGAAAGTGGAAGTAATGGTCGAGAATTAATAATTGCCGTGATGTGGCAGACGAGCAAGCAGCGAATTGAAATCCAAAATGGAAGAGCCAACAGATCGATAAAAATGGTGCTTAGCAGTCTTCACAGCGGCTTCCCATAGTCCGCCAAAGTGCGAAGAGCGAGGAGGGATGAACAGCCATTCAATTGAGTCGGATATGCAAAACTCGTTAACGACCTTGACATGCTCGTCACTCAGGAACAGGCGGCTCAGATCTGCTAGTTCGTTCTTGGCACCTACGAAGTTTGTCGCATTGTCAGATCAGATCCTTGAAGGTCGAGAGCGAGTCAGGATGAAACGTTTTAGGGCGTTTAGAAACGATATTGTGGACAAATCCTTTACAAGCTCTAAGTGCACTGCCTTTGTAGCGAAGCATATGAACAGACTGATATAGCATTTCACTGGTGGCCTGTTGCGCACTTCGTTCTTGTAGTAAAATGGTCCACAGTAATCAACGCCAGTGACCATAAAGGGATACGATGTATCAAGACGATCAGCTGGTAGGTCTGCCATTATATGCTCTGCCAATCGTGGCTTGGCACGAAAACAGAATATGCATTTGGCAACAATACTGGAGACTGTTTTTCGACCGCCAATGGGCCAGTACTGGAGCCGAATCGAAGACAAAAAAGCGCGAGGTCCAGCGTGTAAGTTTCGTTTATGAAAGTGAACTATGATTGCTCGCGTCACAGGATGCTGACGGGGCAATATAATCGGATGTCGCGCTGAGAAGTCCAACGACGAGTTTTTCAGCCGTCCACCGATGCGGAGTAGGCCGAAGTCGTCAAGGAATGGTGCAAGAGAGGCCATTGAGCTAGACGGTTTGACATGCCTTCTTTCCTTCAATGCCTTGTAGTCATCGCTAAGAGTAGCCATTTGCACAGACCGCAGCAACCAATGTGTGCCATGATGCAAGTGGTCAACAGTTAGTTCAGCTCCTCGGATTCGATTTACAAATTTGTAAACATAAGCAAAGACCCGCTGCAGCTTGGAAAACGAATTGATGAACTTGCAGCCGATCGAGAGATCAGGTTGCGCTGCAGTTCCGAGAAGTACCTTGTGTCGAAGTTCTGGTAAGGATTCGACAGGTACACAGGAGGCAGGCCACTCTTCCTTTCCCTTACTGAGAAAACTCGGACCATTGGCCCATAATGGAGACCGGAAGAGCTCACTAGGCAGCGCTCCCCGTGAAATTATATCCGCCGGGTTTAATTCAGTGGGAATATAATGCCATTCCATTCCAGTGGTGAGCTCTTGGATGGCTGCGACTCGGTTGGCAACGAAAACATTGAATTTCGAAGCATCATTGCGAATCCAAGCCAAAGTCACGGCAGAGTCTGACCAACAGTAATACCGACAGTCGAACACTTTCATTTGGCATATTTCGCTGAGAAGTTGAGCCAATAATGCAGCTCCGCAGAGTTCCAGCTTTGGTACAGTGATGGTTTTCACAGGCGCGACACGCGATTTGGAGCATAAGAGACGCACGCTGGTGTTGCCATGGCACTTTGAGACTGTATAGACGCATACTCCATAAGCGCTTAGGCTGGCATCACAAAATCCGTGAATCTCCACTGTACTGTCTGATGAGAGTGCTCGACGGGGATACTGGAATTGCTGAGTATACTCAAAATCAGCGCAGAAGTTGACCCAGGCTGTGCTTAAGTGTACGGGCAGGCTCTCATCCCAGTCCAGTTTTTCTCTTCAGAGATCCTGCATAAAAATTTTCGATTTTGTTATGACGGGACCAACAAGACCAAGTGGGTCGTAAAAGCGAGCAATTGCGGAGAGTATCGACCGTTTTGTCAGTCTGGAGGGCAACCTCAGTGGCGAGAAGGAGAAAAGGAAACAGTCTGAAGCGGGATCCCAAACGAGGCCTAACGTTTTCGTGATGTCACTGCCATCGTCAAACTTAAGCAGCGTTTCTCTATCCTCTGCCGGTATGTTTTGGAGTACAGCTGTGTCGCTAGAACACCATTTTCGCAGCCTAAAGTTCCCCTTGGCTAGTAGTCCAGATGTTTGCTTCAATATCTCAATCGCTTCTTGAACACAGCTACCAACCACCAGAAATGAGATCATCCGCGTAGAAATCTCTTTTAACAATGTCAGAGCCAATAGGGAAAGTTTTCTGCTCATCCATGGCCAGTTGGTGCATAGCTCGCACTGAGAGAAACGATGCTGGTTTTGTGCCGTAGGTGACGGTGTCTAATTTGTAAATCTGTATCTTCTGATGCTGAGACTGACGCCACAAGATACATTGAAAATAACTGTCTGCGGGTTCGACTCGTACGCATCGATACATTTTGCATATATCGCCTGTCAGGACTGCAAATGTACGAAACCGCATCAGTATCGAAAACAGCTTCGGTTGGATGGTAGGACCTGCCATCAGTGCATCATTCAGCGAGTGTCCAGAGGTAGTAACTGCCGAGCCATCAAACACGACCCTTAGCTTGGTTGTAGTGCTATCCTCCTTCAGCACGCAGTGATGTGGCAGGTAGTACTTGCATTGGCCCAGTGCAGCTAAGGTAACAAGTGACATGTGACCCAAGTCAAGATATTCCTTGATAAATGCTGCATATTGGGTTTTCAAAGCTGGATTGCGGTCTAGTTTTCCTTCTAAGTTCAGGAATCGACGAACCGCCTGTTGATAGGAGTCACCCAGCTGATACATGCCTAGTCGTAGCGGTAAACGAACTGAATAGTCGCCAGTCGACAGACGTTTAAAATTGGCCTGAAAGTGTGCCTCACAGTCGCGTTCCTCCTTGTTTGTTTCCTCCAAAAACGACGGATTAATTCATCAATCTGTGCATTCGGATGCAGATGTGAGTCAACCAGCAGATCTGGATTCACCATTGATCTCATGATCGAAGAACAGACTGGCTCCAATCAACATGTCGATTTGCTGAGATTTAAAGAATTCAGGATCAGCTAGTTGTGTATTTGATGGAATGTTCCATGATGCAGGGTCAAGAGTGAAGCCAGGCTGATTATCGGTGATGGATGGTGCAATCAACGCCGGGATGCATGTGGAGTACTCCGACACTCGAGATTTGACATTGAGCATTGATGATGGACGCAAATGCTGCATCACCAATGCCAGAGACGATTGCTGTTGACTTGAATTTGCGCAGCTGGAGCTGATGAGCAAGACGAGAGGTGATGATGTGCAACTGCGACCCAGAGTCGAGCAACGCACGGCAGGGCACCAAGGAGCCAGCGCGATTTTTCACGTTGATGACGGCAGTGGCAAGCAGGACAACATAGTGCTTGAGATGCTGGGCGGTAGTGAGTGGCGAAGATAAAATTGCCGCCAAGGTGTTTTGGGATAACGAATAAGTTTCGGTATCTTGTGCATTGTTTGAGCTAGAAGCAGCGATGTGACTGCTTGTGTTGCCAAGATGCAACAAGCTATGATGCTTGCTTCCACAAACTCTGCAAGCGCTGGAGCCGCAGACTCTCAGCTGATGTCCCCTTTGCAGGCAGTTTAAGCACAGCGCAAGCCACTTGGCTTCGTGAAGGCGCAGCGAGGGCGATAAATTTGCGAATCGCAAACATTTATAAATAGAGTGGCCTGCGACTTCACAAAACACACAAGCACTCGTTCCATTCCTAGTCACTGCAAACGTTCTTCTACTACTGTTGTTCTGGCCCACATGGGAGCTAGGCGTGTACATTGTCGTAGCGTGATCCGCATTTTCCAGCCTTTGACAACGCCTCTCGATGAAGGTTGTAAACTGCTCGCATGATGGTATGACGTCCAACGGCGCATCATCCTCCCAGCTATCTTGCGTAGCGCTATCTAGTTTTTGCAGCAACGTGTGTACTATGACGCAACCGGCGATCTGTTCCACACTGCCCATCGATTTTAAAGCACGTAGATGAGAGTGAGGTTATCTGAAAATTCGCGCAGCTGTGTCGTCGCGCCCTTATCTACCTTCCTCAAACCCAAAAATTCAGCGATGTGTGCGTGAAAAATAAGACGCTTATCAAGCAGTTCTAAAGCGGCAGCATAATTAGCGTTTGAAATTTCCAAGGAGCGAATTGTATCCAGTGCTGTTCCTTTAAGGCATGACCGTAGATGCTGGAGTTTTTCAATGTTGGTCAAATACGGATCCTTGTCAATGACCGTGGTGAACATGTTCGAGAAATCGGCTTATTCTGTGTAGCCTCCACTAAACTCCGGCAATTTAAGTTGAGGCAATCGAGAGTGGTTTGGAACAACAAAGGTAGAACGCGAATCATCGGCTGCGGCAGAATTGAAGGTGGAACAATGCGGAATCTGCTGAACCTTGCTTCGATTTCCGCGTTCGCGTTGAAGGGACACCCGTAGCTGCCTAATAGTTGACTCAAAACTTGTCTGAAGATCCTCTTCAACACTGGCGTGACCCACATCTAGCAAACTATCATAGACTGTTTCAAATTTCGCCTGCAAGTCAGATGCCATGCTTATGTAATCTTGCAGCTCGTAGTCATCAACATCGCGAAGTCGAGCGGGATCAAGTTCAGAGGACAATCTATTGAGTCGATCACTTAAATTCTTAATCTTTATTTTAAGAACAGCAGCCTGGGTTCCAACCGCCACTTGACTAGCTGATGTCACCTGATCATTTCCATTTGCACTTGCACCTTCATCAAACATAATGAATGTAGCGCACAACAAGGTTCACACAGCCGAACAAGTGTCGGTCGAGCGAGATAGCGTATAGCTGTTTATAGCGCGCAACGATTAACGGGGATTTTGCTACGGCGTTTATGTATAACAACCAACTGTATGCAGATGCGCAAGCAAACGGCTCACCACTGTTTTGCTTAAATTGATAAATTGTTTGTTGATACGATAAGAACGAAGTATAAGAAAAATAGAAGAAAGAAATCATGTCGGGGTCACCAAAATGTGTAGTTGCAAGCTTTTTTGCAACTAATTAATTCTAACTGCTTGTGTGCAGCGAAATTCAAAACTTATGTATATTTGTTTTCGAATATATTTATTGCCGCGCAGGGCACTTAGTAGAGATTATGTTTTTATATTGTTGCTTGGCAGCCAACTCGAATTAGTTGTGCCTAGGTTGCGATCAAACGAAAAACTAAAAACTATGACAATATGTAAAGCGAACGAAACGAAACTCCAATAAGACGCTCGCCAGTTAGAGCGAAGGGCAGCGGGAGTCAATGCAAAGCAAAGCAATGCAGAAAGAGAGTGGGCAGCAGCTTACAAAGAGCGCGCGAAAACTATTTGCTCTTAGGCTGTAATTATGATTGTTATTTTCTGCTTGGATGATGTCCGCAGCCGTCGGTGTTGTCTCTGCTGTTACTTGACCAAACACTGCTAATCGGGCAGAAATGGTTCTGCTCAATTTTACAATTTGTTTTAAATTTAATTATATTATAATTAGAGATAATTTTAACAGGTAAGTTGGTCGAGTTGTTGTTTTCGTGGACCCTCGTTCCGGCCGTCACCGGAATCGGCACGCTGATGCTCCTTCGTTGGCGCAAGCGGCGGTATGCCTCTCGCACTTGTCACAATGGCACAGCTTGTTGCGCTGGCGGTACCGGTGCTGGTCTTCGCACAGGTTGTTGTTTGCCAACTTTACTGGCTAGCGGGGCCGGTATTGGTCTTCTTTAGTTGGCAAGTATACTTGCAATGTATGCTGTAGAGTGGTCCCTCGCAGTCTGCTGGGCATGTTTGTCGCATCTTTGGGATCTGAGACGGTGATGGTGGTGCTATTAATTTTTTCTTGCTTATGTTACTGATGGAGTGGTGAGTTGCGTCAATGGAGTTCTTAATTATCAGGCTAAATTTAAAAAAGATCGAATTCTACCTGTAACTTTTAGGCTGTTGTCCAAGCAGATGGTAGTGAACTTGTGTATAATAGCCACTTAATGTGGGCTATTCTTTTATTTATTTAAGATTTCTGACCATCCCTGTGTTGTCCCATTGACGCGCTTTACTCACTCAGTAGTTTGTAGTTTTCCGGTCCACGATCCTCGTCATCTGCCTCCAGGCAGCGATTTATTTATCCTCTTGTCTTTGTGTTCTACTGCCTCCAGGCACGGATTTATTTATCCTCTTGTCTTTTTTTCCTACTGCCTCCCGGCAGGGAATCATGACCATGTCACGGTCGCCATGTAGAATTTGGTGAAGTCCGAAAGTTGGGTTTAAGTAAATTAGTTTAACCAGCAAGAAAACATGTCAGTTGCATTGGCATGACTTTATTTGAATGTTCTTTAAATCGTTCTTAGATGTTGGCTTACCCTAAGGCTATATGTAAATACTTCTGCTGTTATCGGTTAACAGCAACAAAGAGTGAGAGTGTGTGGTATGTGATTGCATTGGGGATTACATATATGGTAGTCTTGGTAAGCCCTACATAAGCGTAGCGTGGGATTTGCGCCGTAAGCTAAACGGCCAGCTAGAGTACTGACGGCCCACGCTGCGTAATATGAGCCTGAGTCAAAAGGGTGTCAGGGTGTTATTTACTGCATATGCACACTACACTCCGTCTCCCATAAGGACCGGAGTCAACCCTAGCGTGGACCTCACTCAATGGAAAGGCACCCACGGGATCGCGAAGGTGACTCCACAATACATACGATAACAACGGCTTCGAGTTGGGACCCAATTAATATGACGACCCAAAACAACAAAACTACCACCCGAGTAAGTGGACGATGAAGAAGGAGCTCGCCATGCTGACCCGTTCGCTAGGAGTACACGCCTAGCGATCACGCCTCCGGCTACGCCATATAGGATATAGAGACCCCGAATAGGCTTAGGGACCCGGCCAGCCTTACGAATAAGCCACGGAGTACACCGCCCAAGAAGAGCAAGGGCAATACCCAGGAGATCGATACTGGTCTAGCTGCTGTACATGTACTATGGCAAGCGATGAGGCACATAAAGCTGGCCACCAATAGCAAGCTAGCGATACTAAAAGAACTACAAGAATTAGTCAAAACGCAGCTCACGAAAAGCCTGTGTATGCGATGCAGCGAAGAGTCGAATATTCATCCGACTCACGCTGAAGGAAGCGGTGGAACTGTCCCTAAATGCGACACGGCAACGCAAACTGAGGAAAGCGATACAGGCCCTAAGCCAGCCCCGGCAGTGCCCCAACAATCGCGGAATGCAATCCCAGCAAAAAGTCGGGACGCGGCCCCAAGTAAAGCCAAACCGGCAACAATCCGCAAGCAGCAACATGTATGGTTGGCGAAGGGAAAAACAACAACCCAACCGCGGGAGGAAGGAACAGCGGCACAAAATGGCCGTAAGATCAAAAATAAATGGACAGATATGAAAGCCAAACACGCCAGGCGGAAACAGCACAATCGGCCGGATGCGATCCTGGTCTAGTGCACAGTGAACATGCCATACGCGGATGTGCTCAAAAACAAGCGCTGAAAAACATGGTGCAGTGCATCCGCAAATCAGTAGTAGGAGAACTGATCCTCAGGATTCACAGCATTCACAGGACCCAGCTACAGACCAGCCGCAAAACCGAGCTGTCTGGAAAAGCCGCAGCTAGAGCCATGCAGGAAACGGATCAAACTGAGGTTCTCGATATCTACGAGTCCACGACCGCAGATGAGGTCCTCACAGCTCTCTTTGCCTCGGTGAGCGAGGCTCACGCGACTTGTGCTCATACTGAAGCCCGGCAAGGAATTGGTTGATCCTTCCTCTTTCCACCCTCTGTGCATGCTGGACATGGGAAAAATCTGCAATCGCCTAGAAAGCAAGCTTGCAGTAGTGCATGGTCTTTCTGAACGCCAATTTGGCTTCAGGAAGCATAGAAATACCATGGATGCCATCAAGGCCGTGGCTGATCTTGCAGAAGGTGCAATCAAACGCACAAGATGCGCAGGCACCAAACAGTACTGCCTAGTCTGCACATTGGACGGAAATTCTAGAAGTCCTAGCGACCAGACACATCCCGAGCCAGATCACAAAGCTAGTCACCAGCTACTTCCAGGACAGAGTGCTCCTGTATGACACTGAAGACGGCTAGCGACAGTATATGGTAACTGGAGGTGTTCCCCAGGGCTCTGTACTGGGGCCGCTACTGTGGAACGTCATGCACGACGGAGTACTGCGCCTTTGCCTACCGGATCGCAAGACAATCATTGGATTCGACGAATCTCGACGAGGTCACCATTAGGAGCACTGCGGCCATCGACAAGGTAATCGAGTGGCTATCTCAGAACGGACTCACGTTGGCGCAGCAGAAGTCAGAGGCAATACTGATAAGCAGAAGGAAGATAGTCGAGAAACCGTCGTTGCGGGTTGGCGGTGCCATCATTGAGTCCAAGCCAGCCATCAAATATCTGGGCGTCATGATAGACCACAGACTGTCGTACAAACAACACCTGGAGTACATAAGTCACAAAGCGGTCACGGTCACAACAGCCATTAGCCGAATGATGGCAAATACCAAACGCCCAAGGCAGATGAGCAGCAAACTTATTGCTGGCGTGGTAACTTCCACAATCCTATACGGATCAAACGTTTGGGCCCCCGCAATGAAAATTGCATCTAACAGCCGAGGATGCAAGGCGGCATAACGACAATGGGCACGGCGAGCAGCCATCTGCTTCCGCACAGTATCGGAAGACGCGGCCTTTGTATTGGCAGACATAATCCCACTCGGCTTGCTGGCGGCTGAAAGGCAAAGTGGGGCAACCACCAATATGCAACTGAGGGACAACAAAATCGAATTACGGCTAAAAAAATGGGATGCGAGCACAAATGGCAGATGGACCCACCGACTTATCCCAGATCTGCAGCTATGGCTACTGCGGAGACACGGCGACGTAGATCACTACCTTGCCCAAATATTTACTGGGCATGGCTGTTTTAAGGCGTACCTGCACAGATTCAAATATGAGGAAAATCCATTTGCGAGCCCTTTGGGTACGATGTAGTTGAGGACGCGGAGAATGCTGTTTTCTGCCGCCCACTCTTCAGATGCGAGCGAGAACAAGCGACGATGAGCAGGAACGACTGGTCTCCGGGAAACCTTGTGGCGCGAATGGTGGCCACCGCAAAAGGATGGAGCGACGCTGCTAATATGGCATCGACTATTATGAAGGAGCTACGACAACGGGAGAGGATCCGACGCTCACACACACACACAGCCGTGTGGTAAGCGGCCCATAGAATACTACCACAGCTAGTCATTGCTTGTCGTATGAGGCGACTGAAATGACACGGGGGTATAATTGCTCGGAGAGGTGCCTCTAGTAGGCGAAAAGATTCTGAATGCCATTAACCTAGCAATGGCCCGATCGATTCCGTTCCGTGGTAATTAAAGAAACTCGTGACCTCCGGTAGTGGCCTGGTATCCCCTGGGTATGCGCTGCACACCCGTGATGCGCCTATCAAACACGAGAAGGCGACTGAGACTGAGACCAGTAATGTCTCAGGCTGCGAACTCTGGACAACCCTACACGACTAGATGACCCCTGGGCTGACGGCTGACAGTATTCTAGCATCTCAGTAAACGGAGGGAAATATGGCCGAAATGACTGCTAGGCTAATGCTGTTACCGCCCCCGACCCGTTAAAACATAGCAAGTCTCCAAGCACGCTCCTCGAATCGTCGCAATTTAGTTGGCAGTATAGGTTCAGATATAATATTCCTGATTAACGCGGATCTGGCTCTGAACACTCGACCTCATGAAGGCGGGTGTCAACCCTCGCATGGCCACACTGCTTGCAAATACAACCATGAGTTCATAACGCGACTGTACAACGGCCAAGGACAATGGCTTAGGAGTTGGGACCCAATAAAATGAGTATAAACCGAACCCCACAACTGAAAGAGAGCTGTGATGCTATTGCAAAGAGCAGCAGAATGGTGAGAACACCAGTAGGTGTAGCAACAGCCGTCCCCGCAGAGACAAACTCTGAGCGGGAACCAACGACGGCAACTCAGAGCAGCTCAGCACTCCGAGAACTCGGACACGAGATCTCAAAGCTGGTAGACGTGCTCGAAGGTGGCAAGCGACGCTCCATCCACCAGCCCATGCGAGACTCAATAGAGAGCATCAGAGTGCTCCACGAGCTGGCGGCCATTCAGCTACAAGCTGAAGGAGCCAACGAGGTCATTAGTACACAGCAGTCGTGTCAAACCTCGCCTCTGTTCAGGACGACGGTAGACGTCAAGCGGAAGCAGGCCACAGTACGGACGCCCCAAACAAAGCGATTTCGAGGACCAGTCGGTAGTCAGGCTACCGTAACAACGGTGCAAGAGACACCGTGCCCCAAAGTGAATGGCGACAAGTTGAAGGAGGTCACCCACAAAAAAAGGAAGGAGGTCACCCGGAAAAAGAGCAAGGGATTTCTTAAGGAAAAGACGCGACCGGATGCTATAGTTATCTCGGCAAAAGGAGAAGCGAGCTACTCAGAGACACTGAGGAAAGTTAAAGCGGACGAGAAACTGGGCGGAATCGGAAAAGCGGTGACAAAAATAAGGAGGACACAATAAGGAGAACTGCTACTTCAGCTTAACAATTCGGGAGAGAATAGCACAGCATTTAGGAGCCTGGTGGGCGAAACGCTAGACGAAAATGCAGAGGTCCGGACGCTGTCCCACCGAGTCTCTATTAAATGCAAGGACCTGAACGAGATCACGACCAGAGGGGACATCTGCGAGGCGCTGAGGGGTCAAATACAAATATAAGCATAGCCCCAGAGAATATTAACCTCCGAAAGACATATGGCCAAACACAGACGGCGACTATAAGACTGCCAGTAGAAAGCGCGAAAAAGGCTCTTTCAGTAGGTTTCCTGAAGGTAGGCTGGGTCAACTCAAGAATCCGCAAGCGGATAAACATCACCAGATGTTTCAGATGGTTCGAGTTTGGACACCTTGCAAGACACTGCAAAAGTGAACTGGACAGATCGAATCTGTGCCGACGATGCGGAGGACGAGAATGCAAAAATCAAACAGATGGTCTGCCAAACAGCTGATGGCAGTGCTGCAAGATGCAAGGTGATCCAAGCCACGTTATCTAGCACGGCGGTAGTGGCGCTGCAGATCTTGGCCGGGACACACACCACCTGTAAAGCGGGAAACATTGCATACCCAC